CCAATGATAAAACATCTCAAGATACATTGTATATTTGTATTAATTATTAATATAAGTGAACTGCGATAAAAAATTTGTAGAAAAGCATTTAATATATATAAAATATATTATTAGTGTTTTATATTTATATATTTTTATTTTGTAAATTACAAAAAGAATCTACATTTATAGATGCGTAATCTTAAAGTATTTAATTCATATTTAATTCATATAGACGGAACATCATAATACGTCTGCACTCTTCCACGAGCCGAAGTGCCGAGCATGACGTCACGCACACGGACGGCGGTTCTCGCTTGTGTGCGTGCTCCCAGTGGCTCCCATCACCTCAGTGCTCTTGGTGCTAGCGGGTCAGAGTTTGCAACTCTGTGTAGAGGGTACCTCCCCGCCATATGTGTATAAATCTTAGGTAACGTTTGTACAGCACCGAAAGACAGCGTTTTATTGCTTCAGGCTTAAGCTTAAGATAATACACTTAAAGTTAAAACTAAAATTATAGACATTTAGATAATTTGACTTACAATAGAGACAGTCACATGCATTAAATAAAAAAACTTAAGAACTAAAACGGAGATCAAACAATTGTGATTACACATTGACATTAGACTGACTAACAAAAAACAAATTAAACGCCAAGAGATACATAGTTGTATGAATAAATAATTCACCACGGCGTGGCGGAGATAAAAGAAAGTCAAACTGAACATTTGTCATGTCTTGAATTAAATAAAAATTGGCAGGGAGCAAAGAAACCTACCTACCGCTACGGTAACATCTTTATCAAGGCAGACAATTAGGGAGTCGACCGGGTGAGGAAGGTGCCCAATCAACTCAACAAGGGCCATGCGTAGAGGCTTTCTTTGGTTTTCATAGGTCAGACATTCCCAAAAGACGTGGTCCGGAGTTTTCTCGAGGCTACATGTTTGACACAAAGAGGAATCAACAATTCCAAAACGGAATAAACTAGCGCGAAGAAATGTATGACCACTGCGGAGACGGTTGAGAGAGATGACAGATCTGCGGCTTAGATTCCAAAGTTCAAACCAAGATACCCGCGTGTTTAACAAGAAGCGGCCACAAAAGTAAGCCCCTCTAGTTCGGGATTCTTCTCTGCACCACGATATCAGACTCGACCTCATTTCAGCCTTCCAAAAACTTTTTACTTTCTTGGAGTGGGATTCCAATGCGAGATTCTCTCCCGCATCGAACCGCGTCTCTTGCTAGAGCATCCGCCCGTTCGTTCCCAACGATTCCGCAGTGACCCGGGATCCAAACCAAGCCGACCCTAGTTCCCTTTTCCGATAACTCCGTAACCAGCGCCTTACTGCGAAGAATAAGATAGGAACTGCTCCTGGGATTAAAGCCTGCCTCTACGGCCGACAAAGTCGACCGTGAGTCTGTAAAGACTGTGTTACGTCCTGGCCCACGGTTACGGTCGGGCTATGGTAGAGTAACAGAGAGCTGTCGTTTCTTTATCTCCGCACAGCAGGATGGCGATCCCGCTGCGGCAAAGTCGAGTGAGTTTGTGTGCTCTCACGGACAAGTCAACGGCGTATGCCGATCTTACTCTATCCTATGAGGCCCCGCTCGTCGGTCTCTTTTTAAGTTTAGAGATTTAACTCTACGGACTAAGGACAAGACCGTGCGATCAATTGAAAATGTGGAGGATGAGAGGTCGATTTATTCAAACTAATCGGATATAAAACATATTAAATTATTCATTAAAGAGGTTTATTGTTACAAATTTTTTGTGTTAGGTGTGTTGTCGTGTAGATAGATGTGATGTCGCGAATTTTACAACCGATCGGAGGGTCATCGCTCGGAGGCGGGGCAGAGGAAAGAATGTGTACGTGTGGATGTGTGTCGCGAAAGCGTGTAAAGTGGCCTCCGGCGCGTTTTTACAAATGTGAATGTGTCGGGTGCATGTGTAAGACGCCGATTCGTGGTCTAGGTATAGAAATCATTATTTTTAATCGATTTCTATTATCTCGTGGATTTTAGCGAAACTATACTAGAGGGAAATATAGAGTAAAAATGACGGACTAAGCGGATGTTATCTAGGTACAGAAATTTGATAGGGAAGAGTTTTCGGGATGGAGTGGTAGATACTAGGTGAAAGAGATCAGAAGGATCTATTCTTAGGGGATCGATTACAAAAGGTAATTTCTTAGGATCTGCTTTTCGGTAAGCGGAGGCTAATTTGAGGAAATGTTGTAATTTAGTGTCGAGCGGTGGGGTGGTCGGTCAAGAGGGATTGGAAGATTCGTCATCCGCGGGTTCTTGCCCGGATGTGGAAAGTAGAGCGAGGAGGGGGTGGAGGAGTCAGCGCGGATTGCACATCCGCGGGATTTTCTGCGGGACAAGAGAGCTCGGGGTGCGTTGGAGAGAGGGAGCGAGAAGGTGAAGGCGGTGGATTGTTCACGGGAAGAGCAGGGGAGGATTAAGCGTCTGCGGGAGGATCGGGGGTTACAGGTGAGTACGAGGGAGCTTTATACCACAAATCGTCGTGTGTATGTGTGTCTGTGTGTTTCTACGTGTGCGTAATCATTATTATTAATATTTTGTGCGTGAGAGGTTTCTACGTGTGAGTGTGTCGGTGGGTGTGCGTGCACGTGCAATGAGGTTGTGTGTGTATCGCTGAAGTTTTTTATTTTATTGTTGTTGTTGCTATCGTTTTTTATTGTTGCGGGAGGAGTGGCGTCAATAGGCCTGGTCGGCTCCGCTTCGTTTAGCGCGAACGCTGCCGCTCGTCGCAATTTTATGTTGCGTCTGTAGCGCTGGGCCTTTTTATCCGTTCGCAAAGTTCTCTGTTGGGATTCCACTTAAACGATTTTATGCAATTATGCTCATGTTACGTTATTGTATTTTCTTTGCCTCGCGACCGTTTTTGGAAATGTTGAGCCTTGTTTACTACGTGGTTTGGGAAAAAAAATAAAGAAAAAATTCGGCTGCCACCCGAGACGACTACACACCGCGAGTAGTCCTTCCAAAAAAATTCGGCTGCCAACCGAGACGATTACACACCGCGAGTAGCCCTTCCAAAAATTTCGGCTGCCACCCGAGACGGCTATACACCGCGAGTAGCCCTTCCAAAAGATTCGGCTGCCACCTAAGACGGCCATACACCGCGAGTAGCCCTTCCAAAAGATTCGGCTGCCACCCGAGACGGCTATACACCGCGAGTAACCCTTCCAAAAATTTCGGCTGCCACCCGAGACGGTTGCACACTGCGAGTAGCCCTTCCAAAAAATGTGAATTTTTGAGCGCGTCTATCTATTCGTTTATTTTAACCGTTTTTCCCGATCTCTCCGAAAATCAGTCACGACGTCAGCTGTTAATTTTGCGAGAAGTGGAACCTCTGTATATATAATGATGTGCACTTACTACTTAGATGATCTTGACTGGATGCTGTTGGGTCTCGTAGCCCCCGTGCGGCTTAGCTGCTGGATGATCGGCGGCGGNTCGCTTCGAACCGGTGCGGCTGGAGCTGGCGTGGATGACCCGGTCGGCTTGTTCTTTTTGTACACTTAACTTTTTTTACGCGCACTCATTCGTCGCGAATTCACTGCGGCACTCCCAGGGAAATCAGCAGTTCTTTTGACTCCAGCCTCGAGAGTCTCGTCTTATATAACTTTTTGAGTCAGCGAGTGCTCACCGAGTTTCTTCCGATCGGAAAACTCGGTTGGGCCTCGCTGGTTTCTGTTTGTTAATTAGTCGTCGGGTAAACTTTGTGTGATCGCCAATCGGCGACGATTTCTTGCCTTGGTCGGCTCGTCCAATTTCCGGGAGAAGGGAGAGTGTTGTTTTTTTTATCACGCCACCCTTTGCTATTTGCTTACAGTAAAATTGCTCGTGGCGCCGGAGTTTCTATTTGCGTCGGCCTCTCTAATTTTTATAAGCGGTGTTTTTCATGACCCGAAGATATCCGGGTTTGGAAAACTGCTGGAAGTGTTTGAATGATAATTTTTTCTTGCTTGTTATATATATATATATAACAAACTTTCGGGCTTTACTAGGCGCGGATTATCTTTTTGGACGCCGATATGATTTCCGTTTGTTCTCTTATCGTCTGGAGTCTAAGTTTCCAAACAATAAGAGACCCGTTCAAGTTATTTATTGCTTTTTATTTTCTAAAAAAAGAGGTTTGCTATGCGTTGCCGCGTCGCGTCGCAAGGTAAAGGGGACCGTGGAGTTCTCAGGACGTAACAACTGTGACCACACGCCATCCCTCTGTACGCGCCAGTTCCAGCGCCTCTACTATGGCCATCGCTTCCACGCTCAAAAACGAAACAAAACCAGCCGACTTGTATCGACGCATAAACCTGCCATCTTGAGAGACCAGTGCAAAGCCTGAGTAGGGAGAGACCTTGGACCTCGAGGCGTCTGTGATGATACAAACTGAATTATCCAATTCTCTTTGAAAGAAGGTCCTAAATTTCGCTTCCACGACGGTGGCTTCTTGCAGGGAGGTTCCCGAGCTAACATCCTCCTGCACTTTTGACATTAAAGGATTGTACCCAAAAGAGAAACAGACTGGCATTTTAGAAGAGTACAAGTCCGACCACCGTCGAACTATCTCGAATGTTTTCATTAGTGGATAGGAGCATACCCAGGCGGCTCAAGGAGTCAGCGACCCTGTAGTTCGGATACCCTTTAAAAGGTTCCACAAAGGGTGTTCTCTTATTGTGGCAACTCTAGACAAAAAATTCAAACAGAGAAAGTGAAAGCGTAAAAAAAGGGGAGCCTCACGAGCTTCTCCTAAAATCACGTTTAGGAGGGTAGACCCCCTGAAACCCATAACCAGGCGTAACGCCCTCATCTGCACCTTGTCCAACTTGGACCCCAGTTTGCGAAAAAGATTTTGTTAAAGGAATCCCACATACTCCACCCTAGATCAAACTAAAGCTCTATAAACACAAAGCAGAAGGCGGGGGTCGTTGCCTCACCACGTACGCCCCAAGTATTTGATGGTTCGAAGAGAGTTTGCACATTGTTTTTTTTCAGCTCATGACGTGGGAGGTCCAGTCCAAATTAGAGCAAAAAATCATGCCCAGAAACTTAACTTTGAAGACAAAGAAAACTCTGGTGTCTGCTATCGTGATTTCTAGTGTGCGTTTTTTATAAGTATACCTGCTATTTATGTAAGCTGCCTCCGAAAGCTTTTGATCATTTTGGCTAAACACGCAGAGTTGAGTTTTAGGTGCTGATAGACCAAGGCCGAGCGGATCTAAGACATTTACGACATTGTTTAACGTCTTTTTTAGTTTGTTTAGTCCTTTGTTTATCCCTACAGTGGAAGAATACAAGCACACATTATCTGCATTTTGGATGATTTTACACCCATTCAAACACACTCTGTCCAGCTCCATCACATAGATGGTATACAGGATGGGACTACAGACACATTCCTGAGGGAGGCCTCTGTTGACCAACCTAACGTCTTCAAAGTCCCCGAAACAGCAAGTTATCTGCCGTTCAGAGACTAGGTTGTACACGAAACGAGCTGTTTGAGGGGGAACCCATAAAGAGATAACTTTTTCAGTCAAAATGTCTGCTAACACAGTATCATACGCCGATTGAACGTGTAAAAAGGCAGCTGACACTGTTTTATTTTCTTGAAAACTTGTAATAATTTCTCCGTAAAGCAAGGTAAGATTGTCTATGCAGGACCGCTGTTTGCGGAAATCAAACTGGGAATTAGGGAGTTTGCCGCAAAACTCCAGCCACCAATTGAGGCGGTTGGCAAGCAGTCTCTCCATAGTCTTACACAGGCACGATGCCAACGAGATGGGTCGAAACTTCTCGCCATCCGACTTAGGAATAAAAAACCCTAAAAACCGTCTCCATTTCACAAGGAACTTGCCTTCTTAAAAAATGGCATTATATATTTTGAGAAGTAATTCTTTTGGTACTGGGGGAAGATTTTTAATAATCAAGTTATTTTGTGACGGGACATCCCGTCACTGTAATATATAGATATTTTATATAGAATATAAGTACATACTTTTTTTTTTTTTTTTTTTTATTGGGTATTTAACGTGCCTGTAGCTCTATTAGGCTATTAGACACATTTATGTCGAAGATCAAGTGATTTTTCTTTTTCGAAGTCAATTTGTGCAGTTCTTTTTGTTCCCTACTACCACGCGATACACGGCCGTCTTTCACAGTAGGCGTACCTATCTGTGTCGGGCTCGTGCTCAAGTTGTTGTGACTTGTGATCGCCTTGTGGGAGGGAAACAAATTCGGAATTACATCCGAATTAATTTTTGGAGACCCGATTTAGTTCGCCGATCAACCGAAAACCTCGGTTGAAGAGGGCCGGCCCGGAAAAAATCCTTAGGTGGTGAGCGGATTCGAACTCGGGACCTCCGGGTTCGCAGCCCCTGCACTCAGGCCGCGAGACCGCTGGGCCGGTCAAGTACATACTTTGATATCTATGGCGTACCATTATTACCCGTCCACACTAAACCGTTCGACCGCACCGAAAGTGCTGCAACGTGTGCACTTTAACCCGTCTCATAGGAACGCGCCCTAAATCTAGGGACCGCGAGCGCCGCAACCGCAAACCGTACCGCGCCGGCGCAGAACCCTACTCGCGGGCCTGCGCGCACCGCACACCGCGCCCCAGACCGAGCTCGGGCCGTCGCCGGGTATATAAGGCGAGCGAAACCGGCTCCGAGCACCATTCCTTTCCCATCCCGCTCTCCGAGGTGTTGACTCGGAAGCATTCCTAGGTTTCCGAGGTGCTGACTCGGAACCGACAACCCACCTTCGAGGCGCTGACTCGAAATATTCCGCTTTCCGATCTCCGAAGTGCTGACTCGGAATCAAAACTCCTTCTTTCCGAGGTGCTGACTTGGGAGGACACCCGTGCCCCTATATTACCCGCTCGAGGAGCTGACTCGAGCCAGCGACGCTTCTCCCGAGGTGTTTGACTCGGGAAACCCGATCCTTCCTTCCCGAGGTGTTGACTCGGAGGGAATCCTGACCGTTACCTTCCGAGGTGTTGACTCGGGCAGCCCATCCTGGCCTTTCCGAGGTGCTGACTCGGAAGGCTCCCGCACCGACCGTCCCCTCAGCCGTTCTCACGGCCCGCCGAAAGCCGTTTTCACGGCTCGCCGTAACCGCCGTTCTCACGGCGCACCGAAACCGCCGTTCTCACGGCGCGCCGAAACCGCCGTTCTCACGACGTACCCGGACATCTCTCGCTACTTCGTAGCCACCCTGACCCGCCGACCGCGTGCACCACGTTGTGCCACGACCCTACGCACCCGCGCACCGCGTCTCCGACGCCGGCCCGCGTAACCGCGTCCCCGTAACCGAATACCCCTCGCTGTATATACTCGCGTCTCTCCTGTCTTAGCAAGTAGGTTTCCGTCCCGTTCCCGCATCAGCCGAGACCGATAAGCGACAGTACGTCCGCGTTAATCCCAGACCGCGAACCGTTAACTTGTAAGGGCTTCGAGCCCCGCGTTGTCTTGGTATTGTAAATATGTTCCCCTCTTAATCAGTAAGATTCTGTTCTGTAACCGCGTCGGCAGAGACCGATCCGCGACCGTACGCGCGCACCAATCACGGGCCGCAAACCGTTCATCCACCAGGGTCTCGAGCCCCGCGTTATCTCGGCATTATATATGCCTTCTTAGTAAGTAAGTTCCCGTCCCGTTTCCGCGCCAGCCGCTACCGACTACCGATAGTAAGCGCGCGCCAATCACAGGCCGCGAAACCGCCGGACCGTAAGGGCTCCGAGCCCACGTCACTAAGACATTGTACATAACGTAGTTTTCAGAATATATTATTATTGAGTTACAGCAGCAAACCGAACGTGTCGCAATCTCTTCCTTCCTCTCACCCGAATCCTAGTCTGACCGAACTGTCCGGCAGGCGGAAGGCCGGGCGAGCCGCGCATAACACGGCCGCTCCGTTACAATCTATATTGTCGAGACCTGGACTAGATTTGTAACGGAGCCGATTTTCTATTGGCTTCGCCCGACCTTCCGCTTGCCGGACAGCTTAGACGGCGCCAAGGATCGAGGAGAAAAAGGCGTGAAATTGCGACACTCGGTTATTTTAATGCTGTACTTAAGGTTTATTTACTTCAACACGGTATTTACAACGGTTGTATTGATTTACCACGGATGTGGATTGATCGGCGCGGTAATTTTGGCGCGAAATGACTCGCACAGATAATACAAAATATGAATTGCGCTGGTAATAAGGTCGGCGCGGGTAATATGAATTTTGGCGCGGCGGTCTTATTCCTAAACTTACATCTACGGGATATATATACACGGGACTTATGTACACGGAGGATGTTCCAAACCGTGAAAACGGCCCGTTGAGCCGTAAGAACGACTGTTTTCTGGTGGCGGTTACAACGACCGTTTGAGTCGTGAGAACGACTATTTGTCGGTGTGGCGGTGACAACGGATTGAATTTTCGGGCTCGTAGAACCGACGGAAACGGTGTGCACCAAAGTGCCGGAAAGGACCAAGACAACGCCTCGATCCGTACGGACAGGATGGTGTTCGAGACAGCGCCTCTAGCACCGGGTTTTGTCGAGACAACGCCTTTAGCACCAGATTCTGTCAAGACAACGCCTTGACCAGAGGGTCAGGATAGTGTCCGAGACAACGTCTCTCGCACGAGGTTATGTCAAGTGAGAGTTTTTTGCCCACGTTGCAATTGCCCACGTCCCAATTGCCCACGAGTTGCTTTTGTTCACGTCCCGATTGCACACGTTCCGATTGCCCACGTTGCGATTGCCCACGTTTCAATTGCCCACGTCCCGATTGCCCACAAGTTGCAATTGCCCACAATGCGATTGCCCACAGTCACTATTGCTCACGTTGCAATTGCTCACGTCGCCAGCGCCCACGTTGCAATTGCCCACGTCCCGATTGCCCACGAGTTGCTTTTGCCCACGTCCCGATTGCCCACTGAGACCGGTAGCGGATCCGGAACAGATGCAGATGCTCCATGAATTGCAGCGGCTGCAAGAACGAGCCTTAAAATCCGAAGCGGAGAGCGGTGGCGACACGGGCGTATTCCGTTTGACCACGGTACAATTGGACACAGTACGATTGCACACGTAATATTGGACACGTACGATTGACCACGGTACGATTGACCAC